TTAAAATCAGGTTTCTGAGACTGAAGAATTAAGACTTGTTCCTTTAAGTTATTGGTGGGGGAATCCTCCCCCCCTTCTTGTTTATCTGACTTTATGAGTCTCAGTGCCATGTTTCCGCCCAGGCAGGCTTTGTTAAAAAAAAGCAAGAAAGAAAAAAAAAGGACTTCTTTCCAATCAACAACAATATCAAGTCTCCAAGGGAAGAAAAAGAGAGACACAGGAGCGAAGTTTTGTCTACAAATGTAGCCAGTGGTATTTATTCCGCTACATTGTGGTAATAGAAAACGAAAGGACTTTCCCTTTCAGCCTCTCCTCCAGCCGACGCCATTTTAAAAGGCTTTTTTTCCTCTTTCTTTTCCTCCTCTCTCTTAAGTAATTTTTTTTTAAAATTCAGTAAAATACTTGCGATTCAGTATTACAGGTCCAGCTCACATTTTCTTTGAGTAGTCTGTTAAATTTGCAGGCTTGCTTTTGACGCCTGGCTCTGCATCAGCAGAGGTCTCCCAAAGCCCGGAGCGGCGGCTGGGGATACGGGGCATCTCATCCGCTCCGTCCCAAAAGTAAAAAAAAAACTTTTGGGACTCCGCAGAGAGTTCTACCCACCCCTGCCGGCTCTATCTCCGTTTCCTCATGGAAACGGAGTTTTTTCGAGCCGCCATTCCGTTGTGAAGGTGGCTCTGACAGGCGATGGAAGCTGACGATCCCAAAGGAACGTCTGGCAGCGACAAACAGCAAACCGGAAGTCCGTGGATTAATATTCTTATCTCTAAAGTTATTTGAACCTGTGCAAATTATTTTTTATACTTTAGAAAGATCCCATTAAATGAAGTTGCACTGTGTAGCACTTACTGAAAGTAATCAGAATTATTTCAGAAAAAACAATATCATCAAACTTGTCTGCAAAAATGGAGGCAAGTAGCAGAGAACACCCAGGAGTTTCGCGAGTTGGCCTGCCACATGCATGGCTGGTCCCCAGAGGCCCTGATGGAGTACTACAAAGACGGGCTTAACAATGATGTCTATCAGAGCTGTGTCTCCCAGGGAGCCCCCCAAGACCTTCAGTGCTGGTATGTGTTGGCAGCTGATGTGGAAATTGATCTGGCCAGAGACTGGCATCGTGGAAGCAGCAGCTGGAGCAACCATCTGCCCCAAAAGAGGCCCTGGAAGCTGCCATCAGCCAAACCGAGATCCACAGTGTGCTTCAGGTGTGGGAAGGAAGGGCACTGAGCAGCTGATTGCCTCACCAAGCCAGGCTCCAAGCCAACAAATGCTGAGGCAGGAAGCCCAAGAAGCAGCCAGCAAATCACCGCGAAACAGCACTGAAAGGAGTGGAGGTCCTTGAGTTTGCCCCTCCTGGCCAGGAGGAGCCAGGAACTCCGACCACCCCAGAAGAGAGTGAGACCGACTCCAACCCCCTGGTAAGTCAGCATGTAGCCGCCTTGACCATCCCAGTGGAGCTGTGGGTGCCTTCATCTGGCGCCCAGGGGAAGAGGCTAGCCCTTTTGGACTCAGCCCTTTTGGACTCAGGGTGTCCAAGATGCATGATTAGCTCTGAGGTAGTAGAGAAACTGGGACTGAGACTGAGAACACTTGAGGGTGCCCATAGCATTTTGCCAGCTGGATAGGTCTGTAGCTGTGGGAGGCCCAGCTCACTTTGGAACTGAAACAGTGGAGATGTGGATGGGGGATCTCTGAGAGACACTGAGTTTCATTGTAGCCCCCGGAATAGAGCGGCCCCTCTTGCTTGGACTACCTTGGCTCCAAAAATGGAACCCCCCATGTGAATTGAAGGAAGGGGCTTTTACGAATCCATTCCACACAGCCGAGAAGAGGAGGAGGCAAAACCCCACCCAGATCCACGGAGCTAGGAGCTGCAGTGAGCGAGTGCCTAGATGGTGAGGAGAAAATCCCAAAAGAATACTGGAACCTCAGGGAGGCATTCAGCAAGAGGGGCTTGGATGTGCTCCTACCCCATCATCCCACAGACTGCAGCATAGAAATCCTCCCAGGGGTGAGACTCCCTAACCCAAAGATCTACTCAATGACCTTGCAAGAGCTGGAGGAACTGCGAGCCTTTATTGACAAAAATCTAAAGCGGGCTTCATCCAACCAGCTAGGCTGTGGGTGGCCATCCCAGTGTTGCTTCATGAGAAAAAGGATGGCTCTCTTCACTTATGTGTGGACTATAAAGGTCTCAACGTGGGATGTGTGGAGAATGTTTACCCGTTACCCCTAATGAAGGACGTGTTGGCTCATCTGGCCAAAGGAAAAATCTTTACTAAGCTGGACTTGAGAGAAGCTTATTACAGAGTCTGCGTTAAGGAGGGAGACGAGTGGAAAACCGCTTTCAGGTGCCCTTTGGGTTGCTTCCAGTTCAGGGTGCTCCCGTTTGGTTTATAAGGAGTACCTGCTGGGTTCATGTATTGATCAGTGAGGTGCTGCATGAGCGTTTGTACAAGTGGGGTCCTAGTTTACTTAGATGACATTCCTATCTACACCGAAACCATGGAAGAACATGTGAAATTAGTGCTCTCAGTCCTGAAAAAAACTCAGGGCTGCTGAACTGTACACCAAATTGTCAAAGTGCGAATTTCACCAGGATAAAATTTACTATTTGGGTTACCACATATCACATGAGGGGATAGAGATGTCCCCTTCGTAGTCCAGGCTGATGCCAGTGATGTAGCTATGGGGGCTGTGCTATTACAGGCAAATGCCACTGGGACCTTACAACCCTGCCCTTACGCCTCCAGGAAATTAACTGAAACCAAAAGGAGATGGGCAGTATGGGAGAAGGAAGCATTTGCTGTCTGATGGGCCCTATTAACTTGGAGGCATTTCCTCAAAGGGGCAAAACACCCTTTTGATGTGTGGACTGACCATAAAAACCTGGAAGCCCTAAAAACGGCCCATAAACTGTCACCCAAGCAAATTCATTGGGCGCAACACTTTAACCGTTTTAATTTTTCCTTGCGCTACCTTCCTGGGGGGAAGAACTTTATGGCAGATGCTTTATCTAGATTGCCTCAGTACAATAGTGCTCAGCCAGAAGTAATCCGCCCAGTTATCCCCTCCAAGCAACTGGCTGCCCCAGTGGTCACCAGAGCCCAGGAAAAAGCAGACCTTGATCTTCCCAGTGAAGTGAGGACCTGAAAGGAGCGCTGAAAAGTGATGATTGGTTCCTGTCCTACTCAAACGAGCGCACCATGTGAGATGGCCTAGCATGGATTGTGCTAAACTATACATCCCTGCCAGTCTTAAGGGGGGGACTGTGCTGCAATGGGCCCAATATTCGAAGGCTGCTGGACACTTGCTTCGTGCAAACTTTACAGCTAGTCAAATGGCAGTTCTGGTGGCCATTGTTGAAAAAAGACATAGAAATCTACGTGGCCAGCTGTCCTGTGTGTGCTTCTGCTAAGAGGCCCCCGGGAAGCCTGCTGGACTCCTTCAGAGTGTGGCCAGTGGTAATGCCCCATGGAAGGAAATATCCATGGACTTCATTGTTGAACTACCTGAGAGCGGGGAACACAGTCATTTGGGTGATCACGGACTTATTTTCTAAGCAGGTGCACTTTGTACCCTGCTCCAAGATCCTCAAAAACGCTCACCAAACTTTATCCAACAAGTATATAGGTTACACGGGATTCCTGACTGTATCATTTCGGATAAGGGGGTACAATTCACCTCCCACTTCTGGAGGGAGTTCCTGAAGTTGTTAAGCTCCACCCAGGGTCCAAGCTACGCCCACCACCCTCTAACGGGGCTTGGGAACATACAAACTCGGTTCTGGAACAGTACCTCAGGTGCTATGTAAACTACCAGCAGGACAATTGGGCCGACTTGCTGCCTTTTGCGGAGGTCGCTTACAATAACTCGATCCATAGTAGCACCTGCTTCATCCCATTTAAAGTTGCTTCTGTTCAGGATTTCCTATCCATTCCAGAAGTGCCCCAGGGGAAACCCCAGATCTCTTCCTTAGTGGAATGGATTGAACAGCTTCAATGTATTTGGCCCATCACCCATAAGGCACTAGATGAGGCACATCAAGTCCATAAAAGACAGGCTGACAAGAAAAGAGCTATACCGAAAGAGTTCCAAATAGGGGACAGGGTCTTCCTATCTACAAAGTACTTACAGACCATCCAGAAATCAAAGAAACTGGGACCCAAACATGTAGGCCTTTTCCCGATTGTTAGGATCGTAAATCCGGTCACGGTACAGTTAGAGCTACCCAAAACCCTTAGACAGATCCACCCTTTGTTTCATATTACTTTATTGAAACCTGAGCATGTATCTCCTCTTCAACCAGGCCAACCTGCCCCTCTAATTCCCCTACTCATCGAAGGTGAACAACACTTTCAGGTCAAAGAGATCCTGGATTCCAGGAAACAGGGAGAAAGTACAGTATTTGGTGGCTTGGAAACATTTCCCTCTCTCACAGTTTGAATGGATGAATGCTCAGGATGTCTGGGCCCCTAAACTCCTATAACTTTTACACTAAATACCTGACAAGCCTTAATGTTGTTTTATTCCACTGTATGGTAGATTTCTTCTATCCTGTATTTTATCTTATGTTTTTTCCTTAGGGCTAACACCTCTATTGCAGGAGGGCCAAATGTCAGCTGGATCTCCAGCATGGGTTTTCCCTTTGATGCTTGCTTGCTATCAGCTGCCATAGTAACGGGGAGGGGAGGGCATGGCATTGGGGTTTGGGACGTGAGCTGGTGTGAAGAAGGCCCAAGTGAAAAAAAAGGGAGGTTTGCTCTCACAAATTACTGCAATGCTGAATGGGGTTGTTTACATCTGGTCAAGGCCAAACGTCCTGGAACTCCAGAGGGACGAAAACACTTGAAGATGTGCCCCACATGACACTATGTGGGACACTATGCCTGACAGTTATATTATGCAGCTGTATTTGCATTTTATATTGTTAAGTTGTACAAAAAGTATATGCATTTGAGAGCTAGTACCATAATAACATTAAAATTATTGTTTTAAAGGTAATTAGAGCCACTGGTTTCATGAAAGGATTGTATACAGAAGCAGAGATGAAATCTGATGTTAAAGTATGTATGCACTTATCATTTTTTAATTTATAAAATATTTTATAGATGCAATTCCATTAAGTATCATTTAATACAATGTCAGAATTGTGCCAGAATGCTATTTTATAAATTAAAATTTATAAATTTTAAAAAATTAGCATCATAATTTACATTGAAAACTGTAAATTTTATTTAACACTATATTGTTTTATTCAGGATAAAGATGCAAAAATCATCTTTCTTCAGAAAGCAATTGATGTGGTCATCATGGTGACAGGAGAATATTTGGCAGTGAAACCTGCACGTGTTGTTGCAGGACATGAGCCTGAAAGAACAAATGAATTTCTCCAAGCAATTGCTAAATGCTGTCTCAATAAGGTATGATGTTAGTATTAATTTGTGAAATATTATCTTAATTGAATTTTAAATACAATTTCAAAGACCAGTTTAAAGAGAGGTGGTTTCAGGGGAAAGATTGGACTTGGGAGAAAAGCTGGAATGAGTGTTGCGGGGGAAAATTAAGCTTCTCTTTATCCAATGTTTTTCCTTTGAAATTCACCACTTGATATACCAGCACGTAAGATCAATTGTCTACAATGCAATATGGAAATAATTCAATCAATAGAATGTGGACTTCATTTGAAGGATCAAAAATATATTATAATAAGATAACCTTTATTGTCACTTTTTTCAAAGGAAAAAAAGGATATATCCATACATAAACATATTTTGTATGTGTGTACACACACACTATTTTCTTTAGGGTTCCAAAATAAGCACTAGGGCTTATTTTTGGGGGTTTCTTTATTTCCCCCCCCCCCCCCCATGTATTGGAGGCTCACTTTTTCTGATTGTTCATGGTGGGACAGGAGGGTGTGCAGTGTGCCACCGCTGCAAGGCAGGGGGGGATGGAGCTGGCCCATGTGCCCCACATCGGGTTAGCTCAGGGCCTCTGCAGCCAGGCCATCCATGCCCCGACACCTGCCTTGTCTTGTGGCTGCAGTACCAGTACACCGTTCGGCCTCCTACTGTCAGGGTTCCAAGTAACAGCCCATATGAAATCAAAACTCCTGTCAACCCTGGAGCCATCTTTGAGCATCTTCAGGGTTGCTCTGGCGTGGCAGTGAGCAAGCAGAAGTAGGCCAGTAGCCACTTAGGCTCCTGCTGCACATGGCTGCTGGTGCTGCCGCCATGAGGCAGCTGTCGGTGCATGGATGGCTTGGATGCAAGGGCCCTGAAATAAGCTGGTGTGGGGCACATGGGACAGCTCATCACCACCCTGCCTCACCTCGTGGCCACGGCACCTCAAGCAACCAGATGGAATGGGTGGGCAACTGGCTGCGCAGGCTCTTAAGTAGGGCTTATTTCTGGGATAGGTCTTATTTTAAGGGAAACCATATATGTGTGTGGTGTATGTATGTACACCGTGTTTCCCTGAAAATAAGACCCACTCTGCAAATAAGCCCGAGCTTGATGGGGGGGGTTGTAGGCCTAATATAAGCCCTACCCCAAAAATAAGCCTGGGGGATGGGTGTGGCCAGCATGAGAGGGCGCGGAGGGGGGGTGATGGTGTCCGGCAGCCCGCCGGCCCCTTGGGACAGTGCAAATACAGCTAATTCCAAGGGTGGAGGCTTGGATTGTGTCTCCTTTGCAGAAGGGAGGGGGAGAGAAAGGCCTGTCCCAATCAGCGCATAGCAGCATAGCACAGGGGGTGGGAGAAGGGAGAAAGCCTCTTGATTCCTGTGAATGTGTCTTCACTAAGTGTAAATATATGCATGGGTGTGTGTATAGTGGAGCTCTTCCCGAGTCTTCTCGCTGCCCTGAAAATATGCAGCAATTGCCGTATCTTTCACTGGCTGGGTTGTGTGTGTATTTCCTGACAACCTTCAAATTGCACTCTTTTCCCTCAGGAAGAGCTCCTCTCCTCTCCTCTCCCCTCCACACACACACACACACACGTTTAAACTTAGCGATGTCGGGGTTCCAAGTAATACCCCCAACAGAATTGAAACTCCGAGGCAAGAATCTTCCTCAAAGCAAGAATTTATTAGAGATGTCATATTGGCACATCTGGGGAAAACCTGAATCTGAAGTCCCTACGTTTTCCCCACCCCAAATCAAAGTCAAAGATCCTTCCCCTTCCATTCCCATCTATCCCAATAAGGTCACTGTCCCAATTTCAGCCAGCTTCCAGTCACACTTCCCCAGGTGCTGGAGAGAGGTCCTTGAGTCCCAAGGGAAAGAATGTCATTATGATTACACACCCCACACTAATCTCACCTTCCCCCTCCTGTTTGCACAGCTTCCTCAACCATTGCTATGGCAGCCCTGAAGGCTCTCAACAAAGACGGCTCCAGGGCTGACAAGTGAAAAGTGAAAAGACATGCACAGGAATCAAGAGCTTTCTTTTTCTCTTCTCCCACACCTAGCGCTCTTAAGACGGTTGCCATGAAAAGGAAACTGGTGCACGTTCCTCCGCCTTCTATAAGCCCTCACTACCAGTAATAAGCTGTCTGTGCAGAAGAGGATGAAGATCCTTTGAATTCTGCCGTGTGCCAAAAATGCAGCTTCTGAGGAATTGAAACGTGCTGCTTCTGAGAGTTGGGGGGTCAGCTTGCCTTGCCACAAGCCTGGCTGGTAGGTGCTGCCTACGCCCCTCAAGCACAGCCTCCTTAAGATGGAGAGCACCATGCACTGAAAGTGAAGTGTGATCTCCTTTCCAGGGAGGTGGGAAAAGTTTTGCTGGCACTACATGTGGCTTCGCCCTCTGCCTTCCTGACCAGGTTCCACAGCTGAGGGGGGCGATGGAGAAAACTGCACACAGCTGGCAGCATGACTTCTGCCAATCTCTTTCTGGGCTTCTGCTTGTTGGGCCGCTTCCCTGAAGCTGGCAGCTCCATGGCCAGTCACTTTCCTTTTTCCCTCTTTTACCTCATGGGAGGCTCTCAGGAACCTTGTGCGGCAGCAGGCAGAGGCATGAGGGAGGCAGACAATCCAGACGCCCTGTGCTGTTGTTTGTTTGGCACAACCACAGGCAAACCGAGAGACAATGAGACGAAGTGGCCGGTGTGTTGGCATCGCCTCTGCCTCCCCTATGCCTCTGCCTCAATCTGCTACCGGTGCCGCCGAGCAAGCCTCCTGTGAGCCTCCCATGAGAAAAAAGAGGGAAAAAGCAAAACGGCTGGCCATGGAGCTGCCGGCTTCGGGAGGTGGCTCAACAAGCAGAAGTGCCACACACTCAGAAAGAGACAGGGGTAAGTCATTCCGCGCTGAGGCAGAGGTGATCCAAACACACCGCCCATTCTGTCCCATTGTCTCTTGGCTTCCCTGTGGCCGCATTGAACAAACACCAGCACAAGGCATCTGGATCACCTGCCTCCCCCATGTCTCTTCCCACTGTCAGCGCTGATGCACAAGCCTCCAGCAAGCCTCCCATGAGCCTTGCTCCCGTGGTGGATTTTTAAAGGAGATTCAGGTTAATGTCAGGGTTCCAAGTAACACCCCCAACAAAAGAAAGCTCTGAGGCTTGAGTTTCCTCAAAGTTACATTTTATTAGAGATGTCATATTGGCACATCTGGAAAAATCCGAATCTGAAAGCTTCCAGGTTTTCCCCACCCAAAGGAAAGTTCAAGTTCCTGCCCAACACCCACATGCCAATCCCAGCACCGTCACATGATCCAATCCCAGCACCGTCCCAGCTGGAGATGCCTCCCAGTCCCAGCCACCTAGGTGCAGGGCAAGATGTCCTTGAGTTTCTGAGAAAGGAATGTTGTTATGACTATATATCAAGCTGCCTCCATACAATCTCCCCTCTATTTTCCCACAGTAGTAAATGTGGCAGGCCTGAAGGCCCAATGAAGAAAATGGCTTCCAGGCTTGATACCTGGAAGCCATTTTTTTATACCTACATTTAAAACCAGGCTGTTTTTATTACACCAGTTCATCAAACACTCTACCTCCTCCTGGTAATCACCCTCATTTACATCCTGAATAAGTCCCACTACTGTTGTATCATCCATTCAAAATATGATAGATAGCAAACCTTGTATAAGAGTCATGGGTCAGTAGGGTGAACAACAGTGGACTTGGGACACAGCCCTGAGGAGAACCTGTGCTCAAGGAGATGGTATTAGAAATATTAGTCCCAACTAGCATATACTGGGACCTATCACTGAGAAAATCAAGATTCCAGCTGCACAAATGAATATTGAAGTCTAAAACGGCCAGCTTATCTACTAAATGCTTGGGAATTGTCATATTAAATGCCAAACTAAAGTTGGCAAACAGTATTTGCACATGAGTATTTCTTTCCTCTAAGTATGCCAAGGCCAGATAGAAAACAGAGGAAATATGAACCTCTGTGGAACGTTTGCACAGAAAGCAAACGGAAATGAGTCAAATGCTGTAGGGAGACTGGATACAATGAAGTCCTTTATCAGCTTTTCAAAACATTTCATAATGATCGACTTAAATTCAACTGGACAATAATCATTAAGACCTGTGATTGAAGACTTCTTTTGCACTGGCAAAATAATGGCAATCTTAAAACACAATGGTACTACTGCATGCTGTAAGTATGCTGTAAAATATCTGTAAGATGTAAGCCAACTCATCTGTACGCTCCCTAAGAAGACACCCAGAGATGGTATGTGGGCTTGCTGCTTTCCGAATGTTAACTTTCCACAATGTTCTCCAAATAGAGGTGACATCAAAGCTAAGCACTTTCTTATCAGAATGGGGCACAGCTTTCCTCAAAGGGGTACTGTTTGATACCTCAAATCTTTAAAAAAAAATTGTGTTCAGCTTGTTTAAAAAGTCCATGTTGCCCTTACAGCACGATGAAGCCACCTTATAGTCTGTAATGGCCTGGATTCCTTGTCACATAAACCTGGTGTTTATAGGGTCCTAAAAAGAATTCTGAACTTTCTGACAATGGGCTTGCTTTGCTGTTTTTATGGCATATTAACTTTTTGCGCATGTCCAAGATGGCAGCGCCCGCTGGGATTGCGATCTGAGGACGGGGCGCCGACCTACCTTTTGGGTCTTTTGGGGTCGTTTCGAAGACCCATGACCCCAGGACTGGTTAGGGGAGCTCCCTGCCAGTACGGAGAGGGTTTTCTTTCCCTCCGTGACTGAGCAGAGAGGAAGGCGCGATGTCGGGAGCGGCGGGCTGTTCAGCTGGGTGGCGGCAGCGTTTTCCACAGCCGGAGGCCATCTGAGTGTCGGAGCGGCGTTGCGCTGGGGGCGCCTGCCGCGTGGTGAGATTCCAAGCCCAGGGGGAGTTGCCCAAAGAGTTGCAAGACGTGTCGGGCACCCCCAAAGACCTCTGGGACGCCGCCAGGCTCTTTCGTGGTGCTGGCGACGATGGCGCAGTGGC